TTTTGTATGTTTACCTTCTTCCGTGTCACACATTTAAACATTTCACAGTCTGACATGTGTGTTAATTGAAATGAAAAGTGAACTGAAATGAAAAAAACGGAACCAATTGTTTATTTATTTATTTTTATTTTCATTTCTTTTCTGCGCTTCTTGTTTTGGCTCGCCTGCAAGCTTTTCCTCCTGGTGCTGTATCAATTAGTTGACTAATATATTGTTGATTAACAGCAATAATTTGTCATTTGTCAAGCTAACGCCAAATGCATGTTCCAGCTCCTCAAATGCGACGCCTTTTCTCTAGTTTGTACAATTACAGTTAAACAACTTCAGATTTTAGATTGTTGATAGGACAAAAGAAACACATTAAATCAGCATTTATTGCTTTTTCTTCCAGCTATATACGCTGCAAATGATCTGTTATGAATATTGATTGCTGGTGTGTGTTTCTCTGCATTCATGCGTCAGCGGTTTGATGACACCTCCTTCAGGCGAGAATGTCAGTGTCTTGTTGCGATTACGTCGCATTCGCTGACACGTGTCGGCTTAGCGTGCAGAGTACAACTTGTTATTTTTTTCATTTACTTTGATAGATAAAGACATGAGTCTGAGACCGTGGACTGTGGCTGTTTCTGCGTATCAAATTGAGGACACGAAATGCAAATCGCCCGGATGCTTCAAAATGCTTCTTTTGATTGACAGCCAAACGGCAATACTGTCAGTCTGTCAGCAGTTTGTGGGCGTGCAGTGTGTACACACTCTACACACATCTTACAGACTATATCCTACATTTGGAGTCATGTGATTGGCGCTCACGCGCTTTTTCCCAGCCTGTCTTTACATTACCGTCACGTGGGCAGATTCCTTTGCACCATGTTGCTTTCATCCCTACCTTTCTCAAACATTCTCTCCAACCTCTCAGACATGAAAGGGTTATCCAAGCCATATTAACTTTTGTACAGGATTGATTGGCTGACCTTATCGATCCGTGTGACCCTTTGCAGGCTTTTCCCACAAGCTCGCAGGACGGGTATTGCTTCAACCGCTCCCTCAGGAGAATCTTATCTTGTATCTCACAGGATAAGCAGGCTTTGATAATGAAGGGAAAGCCCAGAGGATTTGAAGCTTCCCCACCTAAGCAAACAATCACAGCATTGCTGAGGTGGAAGAGGGCTATTTAATCTTGCCCTCTGTCAGCATTAAAGCTAGGCGTGCAGTTTGCGCTTAACACACAGTCGCATGCCCATTCGCTCATGCGATATGCATGCAGTGACACACAAAATCAAATAGTGGTGTGACAGCAGAATTGACTCCTGTATGTGCCACGCTGTTACTCAAACAAACATCCCAGACGGAGCATGATCTGCTGTGCCAAGCAATCCCCTTATCAGCACCTGGCACACCAGACTGCCTTATGCCAGTCGAGACCACAGTGCCAGGGCTGTCATTGTATGACTGCGGCTCAGACACACTTCTTGTTTTCTCCGTTTGCTCTGTGGATTTATTATAAAACCACTCAGTTTGCTCCATCAAACAACAAAAAAATCCCCCTACAATCTGTGAATCTGCACAGTCTCCTAAACACAGGTTGAGCGGCCGCTCATAGTGCCGATGCTGCTGGTCGGAATCGGGAGATCATTGTATTTTCTGTGTCTGTGCTGTTGCTTTATTCCTTTAAATTACCATAATGTACAATAAACCTGGTGTAGCTAGAGGAATGGACTGGTGCAGAGGGAGGGGCAAGAAGCCCTCTACTGCTTCATTTAATCCTCTACCCTTCAGCCCCTGTATTCACGTGCTCGCCTCATCTTCCTGCTTGTGTTGTGCTACTGAGTGCAATACCAGTGATTGCTCTGCATCCATGTCTGTGCAGTCCTGCACGGACAACACTGAA